CGGCGCGGAGCAGGGCTCGGTGTCAGGCCGCGGTAGCGGCCTGGCGTAGGCTTCTCCGGTCGCCGGGGCGAGCGATGGGCTGTCTCTTGGGATCCCCCCATGCTAGCCCCCCTATATCGTTTCTCCGCAGCAAGACCAAGGTGAAAAGGAGAACCCCATGCGGGAGCTGCGCATCCGCAAGCTCTGCCTCAACATCTGCGTTGGGGAGAGCGGGGACAGGCTCACCCGAGCGGCCAAAGTGCTGGAGCAGCTGACGGGCCAAACCCCCGTCTTCTCCAAAGGTGAGGGACTTGTTTTCCTGCCGGCTGCCAAGGGCGGGGGGGCTGCGGAGGAACAGGGTTTTTTCCTTTCTGGCTTCAGCAACGGTTGTTTTCCTTCCTCTGCTGAGCATGTGGAGGGTGTGGTGGCAGTGTGGCTGCCAGGGAACAGGCTTCTTGGCCGATCCAGTGTGGGGAGGTCTGCTCTGATGTCGTGTGAGAATTGGGGGGGGGGGGGGTTAAATTTTAGGGGGTGGGGAATTGGGGGGGGGGGCTTAAATATTAGGGTGCTGGTGGTTGTTTTGATCAGTTCAGTTCTGCCTCCAGACTCAGGCTGCTGCTCTGCCTGCATCCCCGAAGAGGGCATGTGTGGTTGCCTCGGTTCTTTTTTCTTTAAAGTCATTTACTCAGTCTTCTTAAGCAAGCTCTGAATCCCCCGGGTGGGAATTATTTGAATAGCCTCTAAGTGTAATTATTGCTGCCTACAGCACGATACACTGTAAGATCCTTTGGAATCAGGAGAAATGAGAAGATTGCTGTTCATTGCACGGTTCGTGGGGCCAAAGCAGAGGAGATTCTGGAGAAGGGGTTGAAGGTGAGAATTTGGCTGGTCTGGATCTTTGATTTGTGAAAGAACAAAACCTAATCTGTACCAACTGAAAAGATGGGTGCTCTGAAATTTTGCACCTGATCTAATTACAGGTCAGTTGTGGATGTTAAGGGTTGGGGTAGCAGCTTTGTCCGATACCGACTGCTGTGTCTGCGCTGTTTCTCTTTCTGGTTGCTGTTTCGTCCTCATTTAAGAACCAGTGGGTGCAGTTGCTGCTTTCTTTTAAGGTTCTGTCTTGGCTGCTGTGATTTATGAGCAGGCTCTGGGAGCAAAATCTTAGGGCTAAAGACATAGTAGTATGTAAGCAAGTTGTGGGTCTGGTAGCAGTTGGTGGAACACATAGGACTTCTTACTTTGTTTGCAGTCAATAATGAAATAGTGACCGACAACAAATGTTTCAGGTGCGAGAATACGAGTTGAGAAAAAACAACTTCTCAGACACTGGGAACTTTGGCTTTGGAATCCAGGAGCACATCGATCTGGGGATTAAATACGATCCCAGTATTGGTATCTACGGCTTGGACTTTTACGTGGTGCGTATTCCCCACTTCCTTGCAGCTCCCGGGATTGTGTGAAAGCTCTAGAAGGAACCTAGAACCATAACTGGCTCACATTAACTTGCTGCCTAGTGCTGGAAGATGGAAATGTCAACAAAATCCAAGATTAAACTGAGATTCCCAGGGCTGCTGTAAAACCCTCGATTTATGACATGTCTCACAAAGCCTCTGCAAAAACAAATACCGTTGCTCTTACTGGTACTTCTGGGATAAGACTGAAGCAGCTGTGCTAGGCTTGAGGAAGGAAGGAGTAGCAGTGGAAAGCGCAGCAGGGGCTTCAGGGATGCAGGCTGAAAGAAGGGCTGCACTGCTGGAAGATTCTCCCTGTGTTTAGAGGACTGGGGATGGGTCCCATAGCAGCAGTGGTGGCTGGCACATTTTGAGTCATTCCATTCTGCTGTGCCTCACTCTGAATCTCTAAAATGGAGCAAAGCTGTTCCATTCATGTTAGCAATGCTGTTCAACGTATCTTTTCTCGAGAGCTGAGGCCTCAGGGTATGGAATAGTATGTCTTCTGCACTCATTTTGGTTTCTCTGAGTCAGTGTATGTGCTAAGTTGTCCAACGTGGGAGCTGTCCCTGTTTACCAGTTTACCTGGCTGCTCAGAAATTTTCAGTTCACATTGAGGCTGTAGAAGATAATGCTTTCAGTCTTGAATGTGACTCGGACAATGAGATATTACTGATGTAGTAATTCTAGCCTTCCCTCTTAGAAAACTGTTAATTTTAAGAAAATAGATGCCAGAATGAAATAGTGCTGTGGGTCTCCTCTCCTGGCAGGTGCTGGGCAGGCCTGGTTTCAGCATTGCTGACAAGAAACGCAGGACTGGCAACATTGGAGCCAAGCACAGAATTGGAAAGGAAGAAGCCATGCGCTGGTTTCAGCAAAAGGTAAAGTCCATCTTTATTCTTGTATCCCAAGAGTTTCCTAGCAAGTATCAGCAAAACACTTCACTGTGGAAGGGTTAGAACAAGTCACTGGGTAGGAGGAGATCTTCATCACTGTTTAAATCATTGATTTTTACTGCTTTGGGGCAGTAGAAGCTGTGTTTGAGCATGAATGTTGTTCATGCCCCTTTTTTGTGTGTGCTGAACTGAAAGAGCAGCTCTTGCAGGATAGCTGGAAGTATCAGCTCTTGTATAAATCTGTCTTGCACAGTTTTTGGAGCTGTTATGTGTGCATGGATCACAAGTGATGAGGCAGGGTTAGGATTTGTTTATCTGACGGAGCTCCTAACTCAGTTGCCAGACCTGGAGAATGGAGTGATCCAAATAAAACAAGTTCTTGGGTTTATCTGTCTGTAGTGCTCTGTGACACAGAGCAGATAATGAGTGGGAGATGCTGAAAGCTTGATTGGAAATGCTCAGAGATGGGGATTACTTCTAGTTTTTCAGAGGTGGAAGGGGTGGGCAGTCTGTCTGGAGGCTACTCTGCCTAGCTGCACACTGGCCATAGCCTGCACAGGGCGGCTCCAGCCTGCTCCTGCTGAGTGGCCCTTTCCCTTCTCACGCCTGGTTCTGCTGACTGTGGCGTAGTTACCTTCAGGGGGCAAATCCTGGGACAGTAACAGGGATGAGTATAGTTCTTGTCAGATCAGCCTGTGAAGGGTGGGGCTGCTTGTTTTGCTGGGCTGATGAGCAGAGCTTAATGGTTATCTGAACAAAGCCCTGCTTGGAAGTTAACAGCACAGCAGCAAAGTAGAAAGGCAGCTGCTCACCTAGGAGAACTGGTGTTTCATCGCAGTGTTGTCTGGCTGGCTTGGCATGAACGTGATGGCTCAGTTTTCACCACAGTGGTACCCCACCTTTTCCCGACAGTGCTTTCTCACTTGGTTTGTGTTTTGTTTTGTTTTTTTTTCTCCCCCCCCTTACAGTATGATGGCATCATCCTTCCTGGTAAATGAGCAGTTCCTGTTACCGCAAAAGTAAATAAAATTTTCTAACCCCTAACTTCTGTAGTGAATTTTGTGGGGGCTCCTCCTGACCTGGGAAGCTGCTGGGAGCAAGGGTCACTCGCACTCGAAAGGCAGCAGAAGGACGTGGACTGATACTGTGCACTTGAAGAGAACATGGTGTTCTCAAGGAGCTGGTGTTGGATTTACATGGATACAGTCTCCACTACTGTACTGTCCAACTGCACAAATAACATGTAGAACTTTTACTAGAGTTTGCAGGTGGGCATAGAAAGAAAAAGAAAAAAAAATATGCTTTTTGACGACTGGAGTTGTAGAGCAGAATTTCTAGAGGGTTAAGTTCCTGAAGGGAACATGGTAAGTCTGTGCCAGTTCTGATCCTCCGCAGACCTGCAGTCTTAAGGGCAGCTGCTCTTTAACGAATGAGGGATTCTGGATTGGCAGAAGAAACTCAGCTGCTCTGGGAACTATTGGGAGTGCAAGTTCAATGAGAAGCCAAAGGAAACGGTGCACATATCCTCTTAATAAAGCAGAGCGGTAGAGCCAAAATGTGGCTGAGGGTTCTTTGTTGAAGCAAGCCTGAAGGGATGGGTTGGAAAGGGCTGAGGGGATGGGCAAGGCCTGTGGTGCTGGCGGTGCTGGGGCAGCTGGTGAGGTTCCTGAGCTGAGATTCAGACCTGGTGCCACGAGAGGGGGCTCGGATCAGCCATCAGGAACCCCCAATCCCTGCTGCTTCCGTGGGTAATGTGAGGGACCTCAAGTGCCTGTACCTGTAACTGGTAGAGGTGTCCTGCCCCACAGATCATGGTGCTCTCCATGTGCATTCTGAAGCAATTATTGGATGTGCTTGGAATGTAAAGGATGAATCTTGACTGGTTCATGGAAATGTTACAGAAGTGTAAGTTCACAGTCCAGAAATTACACAGCCAGACAGTTTTGCCCTGTAGAAGAATGACCTTTATTGTTTAAAGAGAAAATTCCCTGCAGGAGAATGCAGCTCACACAAGTGGAGTTCAGCAGCACCCTTGTCTCTGCCTCTAGTGTTCAGTCCTCTCCTGTGTCTTACAGTAAAAAATTGTAATAAAATCAAGGAACAAACTCACCTCCGTCCAAATCTGCACACACTCCACCATCAGTGATTGTGCAGTGTTGTCTCAAAGACTAGACCATTTCCTTGTTGAGTCTGTTGGAACTGTAAACAGGAGGAGCCTGCCAGTGCTGTTCAGGATGGAGCCATCTCCAAAACACACAGGGTAGCATGTGCTGTGCATGCTAAAACGCACAGAGGGAAGCCGAACTTGAACAGAAATGATGTTCTGCCTCAGTATAGCTTGATGTGAACTCTTGAGATAGTGAATTCTCAGAGCAAAATCAGTACTGTTCTGTGAACTGTAACTGCTGCAAGCTGCTCAGTTTTGGTGAGTTGCAAAAAGAAGTGAAAACCAGCCTGCTCTGCTGAAGGTCGTGGCATATTGGGGTACCCTTGAGGGGCTCAGGGGCTTCCTGCATGCGATTTCACTGTGTTGTGCAAAAAAGACTGGAACAAAAATGAGCGTTTGCCCAGATGCTCAGCAGCATGTAGCTGCCTTGGCCTGAAATGAAGGTGAGGAGCCTCTCTAGGATCACATGTAAAAGTGCTTCAGTAACAGGACCTGTTATCAGGAGATGCTGGCCTCAGCGTGTGACTGTCCTCTGATGTTTTGTAATGACCATGAGCTGGAGACCAGGAAATAACCACCACTCTCTTGCCTCCTGCTTGTCACAGTTTATCACTGCTCTGGGGCTGTAACTTGGACCTGTCAGGGCAGGGGTTGGAGTTCTGTGGTGTGGTTTGTCCTGAAGTATACAGCCCAAGAGTCTGAGTCTGCAGCACTGTAAGGGGGAGTCTGCAGGCCCTGTGCCCTCTGAAAGGGCACCCAGGGTTTTATTAAAGACTGGTAACTGCCTCCTGTCTCACTCAGATGCAGTGACAGGGAGGGACTGTGGACACTGAGCAAGCACCCCTGGAAACTCAATTTTCCTAATCGCTGTTTCTTTTACAGGTCAGATGCTGCTTTTGCAGTAATGGGGAAGCTCTAATTGAGTTCAAAACCAAGCTGTCCACTTGATGGTGTGAGTAACAACACCTGGCTAGGAATATATCTGGGAGAGCTCCTGGTTTAGATGTGAAGGGCTTCTGCTCCAGCTGATTTTCAGGGTACCATTTGCCTCTGAAATCTGTAATCTCATTGCATCCTTAGGCACTTCCCCCATTCCCTCTGCTTGAGCTAGAGCTCAGCACTTGGAAGAGCAAGAGATCTTGCTGAGTTGCTCCAATAGCTCTCTTCCTTGCTATCAAGAATCACATTATTCCTGGTCTGAAGGTATCTAGCCTCAATGAGTAAAGATTAAATGTCTTTCGATTGAACAACTGCTGTGTGAGCAACAGTGTCTGTTCTAGACCTATCACCTCCTCGTACCTAACACCAGTAATACTACTACTGTTGTTTTGAAAGTGTCTCGTGATACTATTTCTACAGTAGAATTTCTCCTGAATTATTCTAGGGTTTTTTCTTCTTTTTTTTCCATTTTTTTGTAATCCATGCTGTGATACAGTGCTGCAGGCTGAGGAGAAAAGCTCTTCTGTCCTGCTTGCTTCCATGTTTGCCCTGCTTGAGCAATCCCAGCTTAAGCTGAGGGATGGAGATGCAGGCAGTTCAGAGACGACACTTTCCTAGAGCCCAAAACTTGCCATGGTGGAACAAGAATGTCTGAGACTTTGCAGTGATTCCAAACATCAGTGTGCCTCCCCATCCAGCTACCCCCCACTCCTCAGCTCTGTCTCCTTCCCTAGCTGCTGGCGTAAGCCATGTGGCACCCAGGGCTTTTTACGTGCTGGCTGCTGCTGAGGCCACAGAGCTGGCCCGGGACCTGGAGCTTGGGGAGGGTGGGAGGATGATGGTGCAGCATGAGACACCCACAGTGGCCTCGGGGAGGTCCTCATCCTTGGCCCACTCGTTGAGGTCAGGATTGTAGCACTGCACACATTTCTGATACCTCTTCCCACTCTCATTCCAGCCGCCCACCAGGCACAAGCGCCCCTCCAGCAGAGCCACCCCGGCTGTGCTGACCCCCGTGGGCAGGGGCGCCATGTAACTCCACTGCCCCGTGAGTGGGCTGTAGCACTCTACAGGCATCACGTCCACCCGCTCGCCCTGGGGACCCAGCTGGCTCCCACCCAGCACGTACGCTCGGTCGGCCACAGTGGCCGCACAGTGCCAGCCCCGGGGGGTGCTGAGCCTTGCCTGCTCCCTCCAGGTGTCAGTGCTGGGCTCGTAGAAGTACACGGTGCGAGAATAAGCATGGCTGATGTAGCCACCAGTGACCAGGAGCTTGCCATCGATGACAGTGGTGGCGTGGCAGCAGCGGGGCGTCTCCAGGCTTGCTTTGCTCTGCCAGCTGTTGGTGGTGGGGACATAGCACTCGACAGATGCCAATGCACCCTCGGCGTTGCGTCCTCCGACAGCGTAGAGGAGCCCGTTGCAGGCGCTCAGGCTGAAGTGTGTCCTCCTGTGCTGCATGCTGGCCAAGTGCAGCCAGGTGTTGAAGCGCGGGTCGTACCTGGGGGAGGAAGGGCAAGTCTGTCTGGCCAGGGCTATCAGAGCCGTAGGGAGAAGAGGGACTTGCCAAACATCTGCTGTCGGAGGAAACAACTCATGCTCTAGAAGAGCCTCTCTGTCTTCTCCGGCAGTAAAAAAGCATCTGGGCAGGCAGTGCAGATGGAGATGATGGCACTGCACAGGACTGGATCCTACCTGCGACTGATGGGGTTGTTGCCACTCTAACTCTTGAGACGGCCGAGCGTTGCTCCTGCTACCACAAGCTCCAGCCTGGCTTGGAAATGGCGAGTACTACGAGTCTGAGGTGTTCCCAGGCACCTTAACTGTCCCAAGATGTTGGGTCTTGTCAGGTAGAAGAGGACCTAGGGACAGGTCTTCCCTGCCCACCCTGCCAGGCCAAAGCCAGGCATGTGATAAGAAGCTGGCTCCTTGTGTGCCCACGAGATGACAGAGGGAACTGGACTGCTGTGTCCTCGGTGTGATGCCACAGGGACTAAGGCCAGGCTGGGAAAGGTGGATAAGCTATTGGCCAGAAATAGAAAGGAGACCTGACAGTGGGTCCATGAAACCTCACTTGGTGCAAGAGACAGAGCCCAATGACGGCCCATAACCGAGGGGTGGTGATCAGGGGCCACGATGCAATGCCAAAAACATTTCATGTGGAGCCTCAGGGCTCAGCCTCAGGCTGAGCCAAGCCATGGGCAGAGCAACTGGGAAGTTCAGGTTTAATTCGCAAAGTACTGCATGTCAGGTTGCCATGGTTACTCCTGCTTTCTTTGAATAGTAATCCCTTGGTGATCCAGTGACAGGTTTATGGGGATTAAGGAAAAAAACCTCATCATTTAAACAGCGAAGAGAGAAATGGAGGCAGAGAGAAGAAAGCCTGAAGGGAAGCAGGAATCCTACAGACAGTAAATTTACCTTAAAATGAATCTAGACAAACCAGAGTCTGGATTGAGGTTGGCACTGGCTGGAGGAACAGCCAGTGGGTTAAAAGGGGAGCTCCCCAGAGTAACAAAATGAGTTACTGCTAAACAACGAAGGCTCCCATTTATCCAGGAGCCTCCCAGCTTCAAAGAGGGCCTGCCTTGCCCTCATCCTGCACCAGTGCTGTGCACTGGTGGAGGACGTGGACAGCATAGCCCAGGGGTCAAAGTCCCCAGGGGAAGCCCAGGCTGGGGTCATGCAGACCAAATCCCCAGAACTTGTGTCCAGGTCTTGTGTCTCGCAGTCCAGCACCCTGTGCTGGGCCTCGCTACGTTTGTCCCTCCCTGGCAGCATTTGGCAGCGTTATCCCAGAGGCCAGACCTACCTCCTGGTTACTGATAGCCAAAAGGAACCTTTCTGATGCACTCATCCCTCACCCCATGGGGGATGCTGGGGCACAGGCAGACACGGTACAGCTCTGAACCCCTCCCCAGGATCTGTGTGGCCAGGTTGGAGCCCATCTTACCTGTTGAGGCTGCTGACAGCATGCTTGGCCTGGTTCCTGGCATCATTTTGGTCTTCTCCACCTGCAATGTAGATGAATCCATCCATCACCACCACGCACTGGTTAAAACTTTTTGCTGGCATCTCCGTGAGCTTGTTCCAGTTTCCCTCTGCGTCCCTGTAGCTGATCTCCCTGCTAAGAGCCTTCTCGGTCAAAGCTGGACGACCTCCAACTGTGACAAGCACTCTCTGGCCTCCCCGTATCCTGGTTCTCCGAGACTGAAGGCTGTTTTGCTGGTGGGGGAGCAGGTGGTAATTCATAGCATCCACAAGGAGCTTGTGGCACTGCGGGTCTTGCATCATGCGTGGCACAGGTTGCACATGGTTGACCAAGTCTGGAGCTGAGATTGTGCCAAATCGAATGTTGCTCAGGAGGTCAGCAGCATACTGGACCCGTTTTGGGTCAAATTCCAGCCACTTGACAGCAATCTGGAAGGCTGCAACCTCACTGGGTATCTGCAGGCCATCATCCATGAGCAGCTCATTGATCTGATCAAAGGGGAGTTTCATGAACTGGTCAGTCTTGGAGAACTCCAGGAAGTTTTCCCGAATGAATTTCCGTGTGGCGTCTTTCACCTGGTTGAGGCCGTAGGTGGCTGAGATGTTGGCAATGTACACACAGTTCTCTACAGCCATCTCCTGAATGAGGAAGTCACTGCACATGTTCAGCAGTGCTGGCACCTGCAGCTGGGTGGCCACAGCGATGGTGCTGCCGATGGTGTACAGGGAGAGGCTCAGCTTCCCCGTGTAGGCGTAGGTGATGACAGTGGTCAGGCCCAGTGGGGACACATCACGGAGCTCTACCTGGTGCAGCTGAGGGTCTCTCTGCAGCAGGCGGTGGAAGTACTCGCTGCAGGAAGCCAGGACGAGTTTATGCACCTCAAAGGACTTTGTTTTGGTGGCAATGGTGAGATCGCAGAGGAACTGCTTCTGGCGCATCTGGTTCATCCCTTCCAGAAGGCTGGCTCCATGGTCCGGCGTTTCAACCTCCGTGGCCGTGCAGTGGAAGCCATTGGAGCCACTTTCATATAAACTGTTCAAGTGATTGAGGTGTTCAACATCCAGTAAAGCATCTTCCACCACCACCGGGGTGATGGATGCATCCTCTTTATCCACCTTGGGCTTCTTGGGGGTTTTCTTTTTGGGTGCCATCTTGGTAGGATCACAATGGGACCTGGTGAGAAAGGAGAGGTGAAGAGCCTTGTAGCAGGGATATAGATGCCCTTTTGCTCTTTAAGACATTTCAGTTAAGTAAAATAAAAATTCCCACTGACTCATATACTCTTTGGGTCAGGCCAAGGGAAGGATGAAAACTGCCTCCTAAGCCCTGTACCCCTCTGAGCTGCATTAAAGGCATTGAGGGCCATGACTATGAGAGGGGATCCTCAACTCTCAACCGGTACCAGCACCTTCGCTGTGTTAAAAAAGGACGGGGAATTTTGGGTGGTTGCCTTGGGAAACTTGGAGCACCCACTGGTTCCTGGGTGTGGGGCTCTGCTCAGCCCCGCTGACACCTCCACCGTCTGAGGTGACACAGACTCCAGGCAGAGCGAGGGGGCGATCACAGGGTGTGTTTCACCTGACTCAAGCACGCGTCAGATGGGGTGAATCAAGCCCCAGCAGCTCTGACAGAGCATCCCACACAGCAGCGTGGTGAAATGAACCCCCGCACTGCAGGACCACATAGAAAAGGGTGTCCATTTCTCCCTCAGCCCCTTGGGCACTGCAAGGCTCTGCTGGGTAACCAGTGTGGGCAGCTGCCCTTTGGGGTGACCAGTTCAAACTGCAGGTGAAAGAGGAAAATAAAAAAAAACTTAACAACAACAATCCAGCTTTTGAATGTTCCCAAATTCCAGCTTGAAACTCCAGACTGAAACTCAGCAGTGACCTCAGCTCCTCTGAGGGAGCTCGGAGCAGCCAATATATGAGGGAACAAATCTGCCAGCCAGAAATAGCTGTTACTGCGCTGTCTCACATGTCTGGGGACTGTTTATTACGCTTGGCCATAAGGATCAGGTTTCTTGGAACCGAGTAATCATCTCGTATTTAGCACCAGGCAAAGAAGAAGAGGTGCATTATGAGATTTCAGCAAAAATAAGGAGAAGGGGAAAGTTTTACTAGTAAAAGTCCCTGACAGGAAAGAGGATTCAGGGCTGAGTCTGAGCGGGAGAGCAACAGTGCTGGCCTGGCCAAGCTCAGCTGGCCAAGGTGAGCTGAGAGAGCAGGGACAACACAGATGCCCACAGACCCTGCTCTCTCCTGGCTTTGCACAGAAGCCAAGAGGATTCAGGAGAAAAGTCCCAGGCACTTGAGCCATCCCTGGTATTGCGGTGTTTCATGGGGCTACCCCAATTTACACCACCGAAGGCTCATCTATCACAGTGTCATATCCTGGAGTGGGCATCAGTCCTTTTGAAACTGGGACGCAAATACTGCTCTCTGTGTGTTTGGATATGAAACTGTTTCTGATACGCAGCTCATGCTTGGGAAAAGGAACTGGGATTTACCCTTTCAGAACAACAACACTATGATGTTTCCAAACATGCATTTTGTTCAGACTATCCATTCCCTAGGAAAATTTGCAGTTTCAGCTTTTCAGTTGGATTTGAAGTGGCAAAATAGGTTAAATATTGGAATTTCCCAGGAAATTAAAATGTTTTTCCAAGCCTTCTATCCAGATCCCTCAAGGGATGATCTCTGATCTCTCTGAGATACAATACTACAAGAACCTCTTGCTGCCGAACAAACCCAAAGAGGAGCAGGACTTGTCCTGGAGGGACTTGTCCATCCTGCTGCCCCGATGCTGAGACCAGTCCCAGAGGGACAGGTGCCAGGTCGAGGTCTGCAACCCCGGGGCAGGAGGGTTTGGCCTTGTGAAATAAGTGACCTGGGTGTCAGCTCCCACCGGGCTGCGCTGAGAATCTGCCCAATCCCTTCTTCTCCCCAGACTGCCTTGATTTTGGCCTTTTTTTACAGAAATAAGCATGGTGTCTGCAGCAAGGCACTGTTTCTGTCCATAAAACTGCTCACCCCTCTTTCAGGGGCTCCAGACCCATTTTAGAGAGGTGACACCAGTGCTCAGCAGCTCCCGTGGGCCTGGTGTGGAACCCAGCATCAGAGTAGGACAAGCTGATCTCTGAAAGTCTCCTTAACTCCTTCTGGAAAGCCATGCAATACAGTTGGCTTTCTCCATTCCCTGTCCACCCCGCTTGGGAGTCAAGGAGGGAAGTTGTTCTGGGATAAAACAGAGGCCTCTAACTGCCTTACACTTCATACAAGTACAACTGAGTCACAAGAAGTTTTGGGCTCATAATGATGTCCATGGGATCCTGCCTGTCGCCTTTGGGCACCTTTGACAGACTCCAATTTGAAGCACGTGTTTGTGTTATTCTAGTGTCTGGCTGCAGGAAGGCAGGGCGACCTTTATACCTGCAGTTAATTTAAAATGGGACATCATAGCTGCTTCTGATTGACATACCACTGCAGAGACTTGAAAGGGATATTTCCCTACAGATTAATCCTGAATGCTGGATTAATTTAGGGAGCTGGAATGGTCAGAATAGATGTCAGAGGGCCCAGACAGAAAGGAGGGCAAATAGGGCTTTTTTCTAGCTGTTTAAACTTCTCTTAAAAGACAGTAGTTGTCCTCACTTCATTTCAGTGCTTCTAATCTCAGCCCTGCACCATATTACTGAGCTAACAGCAAAGCAGGACCTACGCTGGGTGATACTGTGTCTTCAGGAAGTTACAGCAGGCTTATTCTAATATCTAACCAAACAGAGTCCCTCTCCTTCACCTGCTGCTGCCCCCAGCCCTGGGTTCAAGCAGGGTCTGAGTCACAGCAAACACCAAACTGGCCTGGAAAACTACCTGGACACTGCAGATCTGGGCACTATTTTGCTGCCAATAATTCCTCCAGCCCCATTTTAGAAAACAACAAAGTCTTTCCCCATGCCATTATTTCCATTATTCAGCAGTTCCCGTGCCCCATGCAAGGTCTCTGCAGATCCTGCTTGGTGAGCCCTGGTTCTCCATGACTCATCTACGGGCTGGGTCTGCTCCTTACCTTGCTGTTAAGACCGGTTAGTCCAAGGGGAAGCTCTCACCAGCACAGGGCTCTGCAGGTTGAGAGATAGAGACCCTCAACTTTCCCCACGCAACGTCCTCCTCCCCCCTCCCCCCTCCCAGCCAGCTGACTGCTCTTATCACTTCCACATACACAGCAGGCTTTTGGGGTGATGCGAGGACAGCCGCCCTCAGCCGAGTCCCCAGAGACATGGGAAGGGCTGGATTCAGGCAGCGCTGCTCCGGCCAAGGGCACCGTCGCAGCCGGCGACAGGAGAAGGCAGTAAACCAAAGGCCGAGCATGTCCACTGCCAAGGCAGAGGCAAAAAGGAGGCAGCCAAAGGCCTGGCTCCCCTCCAGGAGGGCTCACCAGAACATTTAGGGATGAGCTGGGGACTCATCGCCCTGCTGACTCCTTCCCCACTCTCCTGAGTGAGCGGAAGGGACAGCAGCTCCAAGCCCCCGGCCTGGGCAGCTGTGGCCCCACTCCATTTGCCTTTGGCCACAAATGAATCTATAAACCCACTTTCCACTCACTTGCAACAGCTGTGGTAGAGCCGTTGGCCATTGGGAGACAACGGGAACAGGTATGAAGAGACTTTTGTCTCAGGAAAGGCTGTCCTGACCACGGTAGGGCCGGAGGTAGCACCACTGCC